ACCAGAGTAGTGCATAAATATGGGCAAAAATCAAAACCCTGCCGCGTCGGGGTGCCCCCCCCCCCCCCCCCCACCCCGAAGCTTGTGCCTTTGGAGCTCAGTCAGTATTTATCCTAGATCTGTGCCTTGGACTGTCCACACTTTTGTCATCTTCATTATTATCAACTCACATCTATAACTGGACCATTTTGTGAAAGGTTTGAACCCAGGAGTCACTTCGTAACTAGGTTGAGCACATCCAGCTGAACATAGTCCTGAATACGACTTTTGTTAACAGTGACTAACATTTTGACAACCTGTGCTGAGTCAAAGTGAAGATGAAGATGACTGCAGCACAGTCGTCAAAACGTCAGTCGCTGTCGACAACAGTCCTATTCAGGACTATGTTCACTTGGGCAATCATGCTTAACCTACTTATAACTCCACTTTCTTTTATCATTTCTTTTTTCAGACAAGGTCATGCTGCCGCAGTTGTGGACAAGAAAGTGTACATATTTGGAGGCAGCAGTGGAAGTGGTTTTGGTGGGCAGCACAGTGACTCCACTAGTGATCCAATTTACTTGAATGATCTGTTCCTTCTTAAGGGTATGCAAGGATTGTATAGAAACCATGAATGCTAGAAATCTTTGCCTACTGTCTTCTATTTCAGTGGTCAACTTTAAACACTGATTCTTAAGGTACAGTGCTAGAAAGAACTTTGATAGAAAAACATTAGTTTAGGTATTTTTTGTGAATCTGAAGGCCTATAAATATATATGTTTTTTCTGATTAGAACATTTTAATTACCAGTACATGTACATTTTCTGGTCGAGTTTATCGTAAGTTGAATAGCAAAGAAGTGTTTAAGTGTTGGTAATTAGACCCCCGGCAGCTAGTAAGCCACTGAAATCTTTAACAGTGTAAAGCTGTTGGCTTAACCCTTGGATAGAGAATCGTTCATCCAGTTGAGAGCATTGTCCACCTTTTGAGCAACTGGGGCCTGATAAAGACCTAATATCCAACTGATATTTGCATTATAATTATTCTTAGTCGGCGTACAGGTGACATGGGAAAGATTACAACAGCTTGGAGACATTCCTTGTGCTAGGGATGGACACACCCTGAGGTCTGTAAAAGCCGGATTGTCATTTTTATTCATCATTACTTCCATTGGTATTTGAATACAACATCGTCCTTGTCACATCATGAAATGTAGCCCCCAGTTAGGTTCTCTGTTAGAGTATAAAACTGTATTTCTATTTTTGTTTTTAATCCTTATATACAGTGATTAATGTTAATGGTTTGGTTCAATTTTTTTCAGCTTGGTTTAAAAACCGGAAGGTTTGAAAAGCAATTAAACTGGAGAAAATTTGAACCACAACAAAGATGTAATATTTATACCGTCCAAACTATTTGTTTATGGCAACTGATTATTATTTGACTTCTTTTAACTCTCCCCAGTGCTTTGGGCTCTGTACTTTATTTATTTGGTGGCTCAAATTACCCAGAATCAGAAGAATGTTTGGAAGGATTATACGCTTATGACATAGGTAAAACTTTGTTGTAATACTTTAAAATTCCTAAGGCATTGATGTCGGTATTCCTACAGAGGTTGAATCTAACGAACTCATTTTGCACTTTTATAAGTGAATAGAAGTTTACCACCTTCAGTAGTCACCTCTCTAATACTTTGAGTTTCTCTCTTTGTTTGGTCAGTTTTTACCATACTAGTAACCATGGTAACAGTGTATCTTAACATTTTAATTTCCAATAGTGACCATCAACAATTTTCTCCTAACGAGATCCATCATACATTGTCAAGACGTAAAGTTATGGTAATAATTATTAATAAAATGATCAGCTAAGGGGAAAACTAATGCTTTGATCTTTGAACAAATTCTCTTAACTAATTCTTAAAGGAAATGAATGGAGATCAGTTTGGAGAATTTGTATGTGGATATCGGGGTTTTAAGGGTTAAAAACACCCATTATTCTAGCATTGACCTACTTGTAAGTACTGTACATGTATCAGGGTTTTCACTACGATTTC